TGACTGCTGACCAGAAGTCATGGATTTGAACCCACCAGCTGCCCTGCGGCAGAAAGATGTGGCAGTGTGCTTCCCGTAAAGATTACAACCTTGGAAACCCTATGGGGCAGTTCTACTCTGTCCTACAGGGTCACTAGGAGTTGAAATCAACTCAACGGCCATGGTTGTTTCTTCATTCCTAATGAAAGTGGGTAGAATCTTTTCTTTCCAGGACTGCCGGGGAGCTGCGACAGGATATTATTAGCCCTGACATTTATTATGTGCTGTGCTCCATCATGAGGAGCTTTACATAGTTCTCATTTAAGGTTATCGGTTCAGCTAACAAAGTCTTCAGCTATGCCACACCAGGATGGAAAGGGAGGGGAGAGGCAGGCAGGCTGGAAACATTTCAAGTTTAGTGACTTTCAGAATTATCATTCTCACCAGAAATACCTTCGGAATTCATTACTCTCTTTGGAAATGGGGGTTTTGGTCATGAGCTCAGGTAGGAATGGGGGAATTGTTACCGTAGTTGATTCTAAGTTTTAAATTTTTGTTACCTAGGGTAACACTTTTTAATTTGCTTAGAGCTACTGGTTCATTGAATTTGGGTACCAGTGATATTTGTTCCTGTTTACTTTGTTGGAGGAAAACTGTATGGCACATAAATCCAGCAAAATGTGTGGCAAACACTGGCATGTGTATCAAATTTTAACTGTACAAACCATCCTTTTTTGCAGCAAACTTCCCTAAAACCATGTTGGTGAACATTTTCCTTTAAAAATATCCCTGTGATGGGAGGATCTTGTTTTCTTACTCACTGTTTGCCATCAAATAAATCATAAATATCATAACATTATTAGTGATAGTATAAGAAATAGATTTTACATGAAGGCCCCATACACGTATGTATATTCAAATAATGGAAATGAAAGTTTCGTGAAATGCTGCTATTAGGTGCCGTTGAGTTGGTTCCGACTCATGGCGACCCTGTGTACAACAGAATGAAACACTGCTCCATCCTGCACCATCCTCATTACTTATAATGTGTAATGTACTCCTAATTGTTGTACTCTACCTTTTTTCTTTAGTGATTAGCATGACCTACTGAATTGATTTTACATTGGATTGTGACCTGCAGTTTATAAAAAATTAAGTCTGGGCGGTACTATGAAACGGATTTGCTTTTGAAATTTGAGGAAACGTAATTTTTTTTTTTTAATTGCAAAGGTATTCTTAGCCATGTAACCAAGTAAGAAAGGAAAAACCATAATCACAAGTCTTTTTTATTCTAGCCCTTGACATTTTGGATTAAAGGGTGAATTCTGTTACAAAAAGGTTAACTTTTTTGAGAATTTAATGCTAGTGCTGTAAGAGCTACCAACCATTCAGTGGCTGTTTTGATTTGTTTTGTTTTTGTTTTTGACCTCAGGTCAGCAGAATGGGGTTGGTAATTCTCTAGGTTTGTGATGACCCATGATCATAGATGTCTCTCTGCCCAGGTTCTTCATCTCCACCCGCCTCCCCTTCCCAGTCTCTTTCCTCCTCTGCCCCCACAGGCTTATACTCCTAGATGTATAATGTATACCCTTCCTATCCATGCTCTGTAACGTTACAGGTTTGTGCCCATGGAGTATATAGTATTGTTTCATGTATTTTAAGTTTTAAATAATTGTATCATTGCTCATTTAATTCTGCTTTGTTAGTCAACAATGTTTTTGTAGATTTTAGTTTATTCTTTCTGACTGATACATAGTATTACATCATATGCATATACCACATTTTATTTGTCCATTTTTCTATTAATAGACATTAAAGTTGTTTCTAACTCTGTAAAGAGGTGCAAATAATGCTGTAGTGAACATCCTTGTCGATGTGCCAGGAATACACAGTTGGGAAGTGGCAGAACCAGGTTTGGAGCTTGTGTTTGTCTGACTCAGTTCATTCTTTTTAGATACTTGCAGACTTCCAGTTATTATTTATTTGCTTGGTTTATTGTATGAAGGAGTCCTGGTGGAGCAGTGGTTAAAGCGACTGTTAACCAAAAGGTCGGCAGTTCAAAACCGCCAGTGGCTCTGAGGGAGAAAGATGTGGCAGTCTGCTTCCATAGAGATTTACAGCCTTGGAAACCCCATGGGGTCGCTGTGAGTCTGAGTTGACTCGACAGCAGTGGGTGGCGGTGGGTGCATCATTTATTTCCTTAATTTATTGGATGAACACTATAATGGTAACAGTAATGGAAATATAAAACATGCAGTTGAATTGCTGGTAATTTTTCTTCTAATAAGTCACCACTTAATTTTTGCCACTTTTTTCCTAATTTTTGTGTAAATTGTATTATTAATCCAGGGTAGATATCAGTTTTGTATTCTGCATTTTTGATGCTGATGTATCATCTACATTTTTTTGTTAAAGGTCCAGATAGTAAATATTTTAGGCTAGAGGCTCTGTCATAACCACTCAGGTCTGCAGCTGTAGTGCAGAAGCTGTCAGAGACAGTACCTAAACGTGGGAGCGTGGCTGTGTTTCAGTAAAACTTTAGTTAACAAAAACAGGTGGTAGACCACATTTTATCTGAGGGCTATATTTTGCCAGACCCCTCATCTAAACAATTCTCATTTTAGTAGAATCATCATATTCCTCTATTCAGGTTTTTCAGTATTAGCGGTAATGCTATAATTAATACCATCCCCTCTTTGTAGTACTATTTCCTTAGGATAAATTTCCAGAAATGAGGTTACTGGTTCAAAAGGTTTATGGCTTTTTATGGCTCCGAAAATTAAGTTTCATTTCTTAATTTAAATTACTTGAGAGTCAACTTTGATTTCCATGTGAATAAATATATCTGAAATCTAATATATACATAGTCTAATATATACATATACACACAAGAGATACTTTATTTTGGTGGTTTCGTTATTTGAATTTTAAAACCTAAAGAGGGCATTCATCTGTGCTGTGGGAAATAATATCTCTTGTATTTTAATATTTAATTTATTAGATACATGTTTTATAATTTAATTTTTCTTAAAACTTTAAGATCTTCTTACATATCTTATTTCAGTTTAAATCTAATAATGTGTTAGAATTTAAAAACTTGTGCTTTGATTACTCTTCAGTTAGCTTATAAAATATATATTAAATTTTCTTGAACGTTTGACACTGTTTGCAAACTAGCTTAATTAACATCACAATCACAATTTTAATGTATCTGATTTTCTCAAACACTTGACAAGGCACCTTAAAAATCTAAAATAGGAAATATTTGTAAGCACTTAGACATTGCTTATAAACCTAGTAAGAGTCTAAACTTAGTGAGTGTCATGGACTGAATTATGTTCCCCCCAAAAATGTGTGGATCAGTTTGGCTAGGCCATGATTCTCAGTATTGTGTGGTTGTCCTCCACTTTGTGATTGTAATTTTATGTTAAAGAGGATTAGGGTGGGATTGTAACACCCTTACTAAGGTCACATCCCTAATGCAGTGTAAAGGGATTTTCCCTGGGGTGTGGCCTGGACCACCTTTTATATTAGGAGAGAGAAAAAGGAAAGGGAAGTGAGCAGAGAGGGGGAACCTTATACCACAAAGAAAGCACTGCTGGCAGCAGAGCGCATCCTTTGGACCCAGTGTCCCTGTGCGCAGAAGCTCCTAGTCCGGGGGAACATTGATGAGAAGGCCAACAGAGAGAGAAAGCTCTCCCCCTGGAGCTGACACCCTGAATTTGGGCTTTTAGCCTACTTTGCTGTGAAGAAATAAATTTCTTTTTATTAAAGCCATCCATTTGTGGTATTTCTGTTATAGCAGCACTAGACAACTAAGTGATGTAATCAGATTCCTTTAAATGTTTAAAAGTTGATTGCAGTTAAATATTTCTATGATGTCAGAATAAGAATAAATTTTTAGAAGATTTTTTTGTAAGATGTTAGAATATCTTAAATTCTTCAAAAGCCTTGAAGACAGACAAAATTATCCAATGGTGATAAAATGTATTACTACACATACTTTAACCTATCTGAGTAACCTCTCGCATTGGTATTAATGGTATAAATTTGGCTCATTTTTAAATCATGTCTATACTTGTTTTTATGTCTTTAGGTTGCAGGGTCACTTAAAGTACAGGGTGCCTTAGGATGATTTAGCATACAGATTATATAATCTTTTAATGCCTGATTTGATGGAATGAGATTAATCAAAATTGGATTGTTGGCTATATACTATTATCGAAAATGCATGTATGCCTTTCCTTTCGCATACCTCATGTTATTTGCCCCTTTTGAATGTCGTTACGGACTCATGGCTTTCCACAGTAGTAGTAGTTTTTATTTTCATGTATGTTTTCTTTTTTGTGTTTCATTGCTGAATTGTCCCAGTTTGGCCAATGGAAGCTCCTTTAAACTGGATCCTTTGTTACCAGTACTCCAGGCATATTTGAATATATTTGTGCTTTCTGGCAACAACCAGATGCTCCAGGCCCTTCTTGTTTTTCTTTGCCTCTAGAAATGAATCACTGCCTTTAAAGGAGCCCGAATTTTTTTAGTGGAGAATAGTATTAGAGGTCAGACTCTGAACACAAGATATCAGTAGTATATAGAGTGGCACCGCTGCTTAGATGACAGTAATAGCAGAGATAGTAAAACAGTTTTTAAAGGATATTAGTTTATAGTGATGTTTGCCTTTTAATTCCAGCTGTATGTGTCTTAAAATATTTTTAAATCAATTTTAATTTTTTATCAGAGTAGTACAGATACAAGTTAACAGGTCAACTAGTAATGTAAGGTCTACTAACAGTGGTCTCGGCCCCACACAAGAGGCAAGTGCTTTGAACATTTTTATCCATTTCTTCTAATATTTAACTATATCATTAAGTAATATGCATTTACTTTTTGACTGTCTACTATGAAATATCTCTTATACCAGACCCCCTTCAATGCAGTGAGACATATTCTTCCCCTCTCATCTTCTGTATGTGGCTTTATCAGGATTTAAGTTAAGTAAATATTGAGAAGTTTGACTCTGAGCTCCCTGTGCAGCCTGTGTATGTGCCTTAGGTTTTTTATTCGTTAAGAAGGGATGGGGGAGCTTTTAATAGGAGTCACCTCCTCCTCGTTTCTGCTGCTTCTCCATAACTGCAGTGAAGGCGGAGACTAGGACAGAGACAACAAACGCTGAAGTATGGGACAGTCTTCATTAAATGTGTACTTGGGCTGGCTTAGCCTACCCCATGACGCTTGAATGCCATCCTTTCTTATTCTGAGCTCTAACTGTATTGAATTTATAGAGGGCCTGTTCTCCTGAGGGTTCGCCTGGCTGTCCGTGTTTGTGATATGCCTGCCCTGGTGGTCTGGTATTCTTTTCCTGTGAACTGAACTGTTAGTCTTATTTCTTTTTCAAATCATTGGTATAGCTTATTACCTCTGTAGCCTCATCATCACATCACTGAGCTATTTTTTTGTTTCTTTGAGGGGGAGGTATATTAGCCAAACTTCACAGTTTGGGAAAATTATGTAGTAAATAAAAATGAAATGTATTTAGAAATTACTCTAGTTTGATAGTTGCACGTTCTTCCTTTTCAGAAATATTGTTGCCATCATGGACCGGTTTGGTGATATATCAGAAGGTGAAGTGGATCATTCTTTCTTTGACAGTGACTTTGAAGAAGCAAAGAAATGTGAAAGTAACTCAGTGTTTGACAAGCAAATTGATGACCCTAAAGAGAGAATAGATAAAGATATAGAAAATATAAACTTAAAATTTGGAATACAAACCAAGGAAAATCATCTTACTGAAAAGGGAAATGAAAAAAAAGAGAAAATTCTTCCAGAAAAGCACTCAATAGAGAATGATATTATACAAACTAGAAGTTGTTCATCTTTGACCACTTCTTCAGGATCAAAAAAACAGCGTGATGCTACAACAGGACATAAAATGCGCTTGCCCATTCCAAGTAGAACTCCCAAGATTGTGAAAGAAGGCAAAGATGATTACTACACGGATAGCGAGGAAAGCAGTGATGATGGGAAGAGACGTCATGTGAGGTCCAAGTCAGCTAAACCATCTAATAACTTTAAAAAAGGCGTAAATAAAAAATATCCCAAAATTAGTTCCTCTTCCTCCTCTTCCTCTTTGTCCTCATCTTCAAGTTCAGTTACAGATTGTTCAGATACAGGGTCTGATGTCTGTATATCTGATTCATCTCCATCATTAAAGAAACATGTTTCTGGTATAACCCTCTTATCATCAAAACAGAAATGTAATCCAGGAATAAAATCAACAGGAATACAACCTTTAAGTACTAAACCCAAAGTCAGTGACCACGCTGAGGAATCTGAAGATACTGTGACCGACGTAACTCCTTTGTCAACCCCAGATATCAGCCCTATTCAGTCTTTTGAACTAGCTGCATCAAATGATCAAAAAATAAAAGTTAAAAGGCAAGAAAACGTGAGCCAAGAAGTATATGAAAATAGTGAGGATTTGAAGAGTAATTCAAACAATTTGAAATCAGCCAGAAAAGGGAAGGAAAAATGTGGGCCTAGTCTTAGCTCGACCTCGAAGTCTTCATCATTAGATTTCAATTTAGACCAAAGACATAAACAAAAAGTCTTACATGACACAATGGACCTAAATCATCTTTTGAAAGGTAACTTTCTTTTTTTAAAATTGTATATTAAATTTAAATATTGAACTTAATTATATATTGTGCTTAACTATGAAATGTAATTAATTTGCATTGATTTTTCTAGTAGATACGCTGTCGTGTTTGGGAAAATTGATGTGGTAACTTTACCAAATACTCAATTTTACCATAAAAATACCTAGAATATCATTGTTTGTAATATCAGGTGACATATATATTGCAAAGCTAATCAACCAGGATTAAAAACTACTTCATACGAGTTGCTCTAGTGCTTACAAACTCAAAAATGCATAGAGGGGCCAGATGGATCATACAAATAATGGAAGTGGGGCCACTTCTCTTCCCACTTTTGATAGAGAGGCATAAGACATTTCGCTTTCTTCTTTAAGAAAGGCATCTATCTGCACAAAGGTTTAGGTAACCTAACATGCTGTCTCCATGTTACAGAAAGTGGCAAGGATGTTGGCAAGTGAAAGAACCCAGAGTAAACTACAGGAGACTATTCAGGTTTAAGTTAAAGACTAAAGAGCATTCCCATTAAACCCACTGCTGCAGAGTTGATTCCGACTTGTAGCAACGCTATAGAATAGGGTAGAACGTCCCATAGGGTTTCCAAAGCTGTAATCGTTACGGAAGCAGACTGCCACATTGTTCTCCCTTGGAGTGGCTGGTGGGTTCCAGCTCGCCATCCTTTGGTTAGCAGCCAAGCGCTTAACCACTGAGCCAAGGCTCCTTCTAAAGAGCATTACTTGAAACTACCAAATGGATGAAATAGTGTAAGTCAAGTTTCAATTGCTTTAAGATAGAAGGTAAATCAACTCAGTGGCACCTAACAACAGCAACAAGATTTTTGAATGAGAATAATATTTATTGCTGCATTTCTGTATCAATTTATTATGCATATTTAGTTTCAAAGGAACAATATATTCCAAGTGAAATAAAAGGAACCCCAAAGTTGACCTTTTGACTAGTTAATAGAAATGTAAAAATAACGGAGCTTGTAGGCTAGATCTGTCAGTGGAGGGTAAAATTTTTAAAGCATAAATAGAATTCTCTATCTTTGTTTGAAATCTTAATTGAAAGAATAAATTAATTTACATATGATGGCAATGTAAGGGCATGCTTGAGTCCAAAATACATACCTTATTCAGTCAAATATCTTACATAGTCAGATCAATAAAGTATATTTTGGAGCAGTTTGCACTTGTGAAGGTTCCTCTTTCTGTAGGTTTTCTTTTCCTCTCGATCTGATGGCACCAACTGGTTATTTTGTCTCTGCAGAGTCAGGCTCTTGGCGTTGGCCATCATCAGCTGGTGGCCAGGCTTCCACCCACATTATCTTTTCCTGATAAATATTTATTCAGTCTCTTAACACTTCAGGATTGTGGGTTTTTCTGTTCTTGCCTCTCTTACTTCTTCCCACAACAGCCAGAGTGATCTTTTAAAAAGTAAATTAGTCCTACTTAGTTTCCTTCTTAACTCTTCGGTGATGTACTCTTATAATAAAATCCAGATTCCTTATTGCCTGCCAGACATCACTGATTCTCATCCCAGGCAGTACATTAGAGTCACCTGGAAAATTAAAACAAATACTGATGCCTGGGCCCTGCCCACGGAGAATCTGATGCAGTTGGTCTAATAAGCGATTAAGGTTGATAAGAACATATGGATATTGCCTCCTTTTTCAGTCTTGTCGCTGTGTTCCAGTCACTCTTGCTTCCTCACTGTCTGAGAACACTCCGGGTTCTTTCCATTTATGAGATGTTTGTACTTGCTGTTGCCCCCCCCCCGCCCCCTTTTTTTTGCAGAGTTTGCGTATTCCTGTTTCTCAGGTCTCAGCTTGTATGTCACCTCCTCAGAGAGACTTTTTTTGAACCTTCTGTCTGTAGTAGCTCTCTACCTCCCACTCCTGCCTCTGTGTCACAAAAGCCCGTTTCTTCCTATCAGAATAGTTATCAGGCCCTGGAATTAGTGTGATTTGCTTCTGTCTCCCACTGGAATGCAAGCAACATATTAGGGCAGGATTTTATTCCTTGCTGGAACCCCCAAATCTAGCAAGTGTTGACACATAATAGATAATACTTATTGACTGAAGGAACCGTCAGAAGGCTGCTTCTGTTGTCGCACAGCTCTAGTGGTTAGGAAATGTATTTCTGAGTTTCACTGCAATTGGATTTTGTAACCGTCTCAGTTACCTAGTGCTGCTGTAACAGATATACCACAAGTGGATGGCTTTAACAAAGAGAAGTTTATTCTCTCACAGTCTAGTTGGCTAGAAGTCCGAATTCAGGGCATCAGCGCCAGGGAAGACTTTCTGTCTCTGTTGGCTGTAGGGGAAGGTCATTGTCATCAGTCTTCCGCTGGTCGAGGAGCTTCTCAGCGCAGGGACCCTGGGTGCTAAGGGCACACTCTGCTCCGGCACTACTTTCTTGGTGGTATGAGGTCCCCCATCTCTATGCTCTCTTCTCTCTTTTGTATCTCAAAACAGATTGATTTAAGGCACAATCTAATCTTGTAGATTGAGTCCTGTGTCATTAACATAACTGCCACTAATCTCACCTCATTAACATCATAACATCATTTACAGCATACAACACGTAGGAAAATCACATCAGATGACAAAATGGTGGACAGTCACACAATACTGGGAATCATGGCCTAGCCCAGTTGACACACGTATTTGGGGGACACAATTCAATCCATAACAGTCATCATTATCCATTAGTCTTAGATTTGTCATCTGAAATGTATAAAAATATGTATAATGCCCTTTTCTGCATTATAATCTTTGAAATATTTGATAGTAATCATGTCCTCATTCTGCTCTCCATAAAATCTCTCTAATTCTTTTATCAAGCCTCCAGTGTAACAGGTTCTACATTTCAAAAAAATTGTTATGACCATTTCTTGTCTGTGTGCTCATTAGTTAAGCTAGATTGTATGATTTCGTCAGGTTGATCATTAGGGTGAGGACTGCATCTGTCTTCAGCACTTCGAGATTTCCAGCGCCAACCTCAGTGCTCTAGCAGAATAGTTTTCAAACTTTTTGGTCTTAGAAACCTTTTACTCTCTTAAAAATTATCAAGGACCCCAAAGAGCTTTTGTTTATGTGGGTTATATCTGTCAATATTTACCATATTAGACGTTAAATCGGAAATTTAAAACAGTTATTAATTCAAGAATGACAGTGATAAACCCTTATATATTAACATAAGTGATGTATGTTTCATGAAACATAACTATATTTTCAAAAAATAAGTGATTTTGTGGATTTTTTTTAATTAGGTTAATTTTTATTGGGACTTAAGAGAAAGTTTACAGAGCAAATTAGTTTCTCATTAAACAGGTAATATGCAAATTGTTTTGTGTCATTGGTTGCCAACCCGCGATGTGTCAACACTCTCCCCTTCTCCACCCCAGGCTCCCTGTTCCCATTTGTTCAGTTTTCCTGCCACTTCCTGCATTTTTGTCTTCGCTTTTGGGCTGGTGTGCCCATGACTCTTGTAAATGTGATTCAACTATGAAGCCTGTCCGTCATGTATGTTATTGTTGGCCCCATGGACCTGGCTAATATTTGGCTGAGGAGTGAACCTTAGAAGTGACTTCAGTAAACTGAGTGTCCCAGGGGCCATACTCTCAGGGTTTCTCCAATCTCTGTCAGACCAGCAAGCCTGGTCTTTTTTTTAAATTTTTTTTTGTGAATTTGGATTTTGTTCTAGAGTTTTCTCCTCCTCTGTCCGAGACCATCTGTTGTGATCCCTGCCAGAGCAGTCTGTGGCGGTAGCCGGGCACTGTCTCGTTCTGGGCTCAGTCTGGTAGAGTTTGTGGTAGTTGTGGACCGTTAGTCCTTTGGACTAATCTTTCCCTTGTGTCTTTGGTCTTCTTTATTCTCCTTTGCTCCAGCCAGGATGGGACCAGTAGGTGTATCTTAGATGGCCACTTGCAGGCTTTTAAGACTCCAGTCACTGCTTACCACAGTTGGATGTAGAACGTTTTCTTTATCAACTATGTTACGCCAGTTGTGCTAGATGTCCCCTGAGACCATGGTCCCCAGCCCTCAGCTCAGTAGCTCAGTTTCTTAGGGCGTTTGGATGTGTCTGTGAAGCTTCTGTGACTTTGCCGCGAGCTCTGGAGCAGCAGGGGCCCACCATCATCTGGCATGCTCCAGGCCCCTGCAAGGACCTACACGCCTCGCCTCTCCACCTTCCCACTCGGCGACCCTGGAGACAGGCCTCAAAGGTGGTGCTCCCGGGCCTGCGGGCAGGTGAGGCCTGGCCACCTGGGCCCAGCAGAGTCTGCAGAGGTGGAGAGGTCTCTTTGGAAGAAGAGACTTCCGAGTTCTCCATCCGACTCCCGCGGCCCCGGCTGCCACCACCTCCTCATGGCCAGCCACCCCCACCACCTGTCCCGCACTCACCTGGGCCTGGCCCAGCTCCTCCGCCCGACTCTGTTACCCGACTCTGTTACCCAACTCGGGTAACAGGAACCACCAGCGGCCCAAGTGACCTCACTCTGTCTCACAAACCTGGCCCTCCTCCTCCTCCCCCTCTCGCCTCGGCTCCTCCTTAATCACAAAACAGTAGGATGGGTTTTTTACTATTGTTGTAAATGCAAAATGCTAGATAATGAGATAGTCAGTGAGTGAGGATTAGGTGCATACATTTTTGTTTTCAATACCCATTCTTATTTTCTTACCTAACTTACAAAAAACAATCTTATAAGAAAGATACTTGATAATTCCAAGTGACAGGGTGCTACTTTTAAACTCACATAAATCACAGTAGAAATGATTAAGGAATAACAGTTCAGCAACCAGCATTTTCCAAATGACAGATACACACGGTGTTACACAATCATGCATATATTCAAAATGCAAGACAGATGAACAGATTTTAATGGAACAGACTACAAAAAGTTCATTGATATAGTTTCAGATTGCACACAGCAGCTAACATTTAAGAAACTACTACTTCTGGAATTTTAGTGTGGTATCAAAAAGGATA